GATTTTTTGTCTATCTGGGAAGGCATCACAAGAAAATCACTGGACAGATTTTAATAACATTTGGTATGATGATAGCTTCTCCGGTACCTACGATACTTTTTACTGCACGAAAATATCTCAACTTTGAGAAATCTATACTAAAAAGATAGTTCCATACAAATTTTCATCTCCTATTTCACCCCCTTATGAATTTCAAAAAATGCTAAAACTCGTATTTATTTAATTTTATTGAAGAGCACGAATACTAAATTCCAAGTATTTCTGAACATAAATATTTTTTATAACAAGTTTCTTTATGAGAATTAGATAATCTTCCGCGGTAAAAAGTAGCCTATGTCACTCTCCAACCCTCCAATTATCTCCACACAAAAAAATCACGCCAATCCATCACTCTGTTTCGACGTGAAAGAATTACAAGCAAACACACACACTTTCACATTTATAATATTAAGTATAGATATATAGATTTTTAGTGAAATAGAGAAAGTTAATATCAGTAAATTTGCATCGACTACAAAATTTAACCTGCAACTTTATAATTTGGACATAAAAATTATGTAGCAAAACCTTACATTTTGATATTTATTTGTTTGGTAGAAAGTTCTATTACAAACTTTTGGAGCTTCCGTTTATTTGGTTTTGAAAGCTGTTATGAAATATTGAGCTTTGCGTGTTACGAACTAGTGTTTTAGGAAGCGATATCGACAGCGATTTATTTATGCAAAAAAGTTTCACTTCATATCTGTTTTGAAATAGAATTCATTTATTTTATGAAATTTGTATTTCTATACAGAATTTCTTTTTGGACGGGACTTAAATAAATTAAGAACTTTTTGGGTTCCATTCTTTGAAAAGAAAAAAGTCGAATCCAATCGTATGCCTTTCATATAATTTTTTACAAATCTACTAGAAAAAAATGTTTAAACTTACACATACAGAGTCAGTGGATTTAAATACGTCGTCATTTAGCGAATGTATATAAAAAAAAAATTTAAGGTAATTTTTGCATTTGTCTTAGAAAATTCGAAAACAGTTTAACAATAGCATTTATAAGCATTGGTAAGTCTAGAATTTTTACTTTATATATAAAACTAGCGATTTACCCTGGCTTCGCTCGGGTTCGTCCCTAGGTACGTTTAAACGGTTAGTATGAAATATACAGATTATATATTATACACAGATATGATGAGTTGTTGTAGGTTGTATTATAACGTGTTTTCCCTTGGAAATGGATTATCTCCCGCGATAAAAAGTACCATGTGATTTTCTACCCCCCTACCTTTTCTCCCCACAAAAAATCATGCCAATCCGTCACTCGGACGTCACTTCAACGTAAAAGAAGGACAAGCAAACAAAGACACAGACTACGAGACAGAAGCCTACAGAACCATCCAAGAACCATCCAGTTGACCCCATAAGTTCACACAAAAAATATCAAAATCGGTCAAGTTGCACGCTGAAATCCAGACTAATATTATAAATGTGAAAGTGTGTTTGTTTGTCCTTCTTTCACATCGAAAAGCAGTGACAGATTGGCGTGATTTTTTGTATGGAGGTAGTTGGAGGGCTGGGAAGTAACATAGGCTACTTTTTACAGCAGGAGATTATCTTATTCCCACGGGAAAACACGTTATAATACAATCCAAAAAATATTTATGATCAGAATTACTTGAAACTCGGTATTAATGCTGAAATTGATCCTATAAGGGGGTAAAAAAGGGGATGAAAGCTTGTATGAAACCTAGGTACCTACCTTTTTAGAAATTTTATTGTAGTTTTAGCGCGAACGAAGCCGCGGGTTCTGCTAGTATTTATATAAAATTGGGTCTCATATACATTTTAAGAATCCTAAGACAACAATCTTCGATCAAAAATACTATTGTTGAAGATGTTGACTACAATAATAATTTATCATAATATTACTTTAGTTATAAGTAGTAATAAATCAACAGTATAACAAATACTTTATTTACCAAACATATATAACAAAATGGGATTTTATTACATGAAACTACATGAAACTTCTACATTGATATAAAAATGTATTCATTCCTCCAATTTCGGCGCAGGATTGAATTGGCACGAACAAACTGAATTCGAATTATTATAGCTCGCTTTAGCTGTTTTATGTACGGTAGTTTTGCTCAGATTCCCATACTCGTTACTAATTTGGACTAAAGCCAGTACGGTGTTGCCAAATTTGCTAATAATATTAGTATGATTAGCAAAATATTGGTGTTATAGTTATGTTTTTGATAATTTTGGGATATGTTAGATTTGAGAGCCATATGGTGTGGGACATCTGTGCATACAATAAAGTATGGTATCGGGATCATTAAGGCTTGAATATATATTTTGATACATATTTTAGGGGATGTAACGAATAGGATACAAGCATTTATAGCTCGTCAATGATCAGTCAGTTAGTCTATTTCATATATTGTATGTTTCAATTATTGGTCTATACATATAATAAAATTCTGAATCGAATCTGTACATTAAATATTTTTTTGAAAATCTTATTGAAATAGTCATTATAATCGATACAGAGGCCGAATCTATAGTTATTAGAATTTTTGTGTCTGTCTGTCTGTTACCGCATCACGAGGTAACCACTGGACAGATTTTAATGAAATTTGGTATGATGGTAGCTGGTTATCTATTAATAATTATATATAAAAATACAGAAACTGCAATGTAAGAGTATACTAATCTGTGAAATGTAAGACTTTGGTTTTTGGTCATCTGAACACGGGCGGAGCCGCGGGAAATGCAAGTATTATATATTGACTGAAAGAAAAATTCTGAAAACGAAAAATCTGGTGATAAACCACAGCATAATAGTGGTCATAAACACTTTCCCCATATAGAACCGTTACAAATAACAAAATTTCAAAGCAAACGGTGCAGAAAATGTAGAAAATATCTGTTTGTGTCAAAACATATCGCAAGGTAAAAATCATTATTTTTTTAATTTCTTTTTATTTCTCATAAAATCATTTGTTATCTATTATGGTCAAATTGATAAAAAGTTCATCACAGTGATGAGTATTATTAATAGTTTTTTCTGGTTTTGATACAATTTTGACAATCTTACTTGATAAAATATTGTCACTTATCTATTAGGGACGAATTAAAAACAGGTTGGTTATGGGAAGAGTGCAAATTATTATTTTCTTATCTTTTTCAAAATTATTTCCATTAAACTTTGAACATACAAGTATATGTGTGCAAAATTACAGCTCATTTAGTTTTGAAACAACTGAGATACGGAGTTTTGAGACGAAACATACGCGATTTTTCCATAGTGCGCTGGCGCAGTCAGTAGGGTCACTACAAACTGAGCCAAACGTGTCGTCAAATAACGCATAAGTGATTCACGTTGTTGATAAATTCGTTAAGATACCTACACTAACGTACCGTAACCATATACAAAATTCATTTTGTGTAAACTATATTTGTATATACATATATGTATGTATATAATATTTTAAGTCAAGACTTTTAAGTGTAAATAATTCTCACTAAAAATGTAAACGCGCAAATGACTTAGTACATTTTTTCCTTTGTTAAAGTTAAAGTACCAAAGGAACAATGGATAGAGGTGATTTAGTTACTAAAAGTTATTTATATCAGGATATACTTAAGAGTGTTATGTGAAAATAACATATAAATATACTAATGTATGTAATTTTGTTGAATTAATTTTTTTTCAAAATATTTTCGTAAAAGATATATGTACGTACAATATAAGCATAAATTATTTGTTTACACACAGACACACCTTAGTGACACCGTACTTAACTTTTAGATATCTGTATCACGTAATACGATGATCATAAAATCGACTTAGCGTTTGGATATTTACTTTCTACGCCTGTATGAAAGTATTATCGTTCCCGGTGGTGAAACACTCATAAACTACTGAATTATAAAACTAACCTGCTATATGAGGTACATATAATAACGTGGGTAGCGTTAGACACTATAACTTATTATTAAAAAAATCTTAGAAAAGAAAAAAATCCTGTAGTATACAAATATTATGCATTACTACACCTTTGCATCTTTAACGACTCTGACCTCTATATTAGAGACTAACGACTCACCCTCGCTTCGCTCGAGTTCGTCACTAGCTTGGTTTCAAATACAAACTTTCACGCCCATTTTTATCTCCTTAAAGGATGATTTCCGGGATAGAAACTATTCTATGTCCTTCCCAGGGTCTCAAACTATCTTCATACCAAATTTCATTTAAATCGCTTCAGTAGATCCAGAGATTACCCCTTACAACGTTACAAACTCACAAACTTTACCTCTTTACAATATTAGTATAGATTGTAGTGTACTGAGACTAGTCACCTGTAAGAAAGCTATAATAATTAAAAGGACACGTTTGTGCAGGATTACAAGTGCACAATTACATTATCTATTCCTTTCATTTTCAAAGTCCGGGAGGACAAGAATTTGACACGACTGATAAGAGATCAGGATCAAGACTGATGGCTTTACGACGTACGTAACCTACGAGTCGGGTAATATTGCCAACTTATCAATTTTCAGTTACTAATAAGAACTTCTTAACAGATAAAAACAATTTACTTTTACAGAGGTGTTGTTGTCAGTTGTGTATGCTCGATCCTATACTGCCCCACTAGCATGACAAGAGTATTCCGGTACAGTAGGACATGATGTGTTTCCTCAACAAGAAAAAAGGTTACACTTATAAATAATAATACCCTCCTGATTGGATTTGGTCACGGCAACCTCGCATTGAGACTAGCTATCTGCTCAGGACTCAAGAGATATTATAGTGATAAGAGATCAGGCGCAGGACCGAAATTTTTACGTACTCATCAAGGTCCGGGGTTGAGTTCCCAACTCGGGCTGTTACTGAAAATTTGTTTGGCAGAAAATCTTAAAAACTATACTGTCTGGGACTTGAATTTAGAACCTCAAGATACTATAAGAGATACTACAAAATAGGTAGTAATACTCACCGACGATAGTAGCGAGGATGATAAGAGCAAGGACAACAGACGTGACCGCCATGAGGACGAGCGACGTGACGTCGGTAGCGGTCGCGTTGGTGGCGTTGAGTGTGCCATTGCAGCCCCACGACACCGCATCCACCCACGAGCAGTTGCCGTCGTACCACTCGCCAGGTGTTGTGACTTCATCTGGAATAAGAAAATGATTTTTTATAGTAGAAATTAATAAATATATTTTGATATTATCGCACAGCTAAGTACATAGTTCCATGGTAAGCTACGAGGCTTGTGTTATGGATACCAGATAGTTGGTACACTAGCATATATAACTATAAATACGTACATATTATAAATATAAACACCCGTGACTGGAGTACAAACATTCGAGCTCCTTACTCAACTGAACGCCCCCTGCGGGACTCAAACTCGGGACCGCTGGCAGAGCAAGTAGGGTAGCAAATATTTTCGATTTCGGTGCCAGCCGACAATATTTTAAGATATTATGAATATCTAATAGGTAAATATGATTTGGTATGAACTCTAATAATTGTAGTTAAAATAATATACATCAATTTATGATGTATTTTACATTTTACGTATCGAGATATATTAAATTTGCTTTGCATCAGCTAGCACCGACTTCGAAAATGTCTGATTAGGTATCTATCTATTCTAAATGAAAACCCCCGTTTAGTTATTTTTCACATTTTAGTGCCTGGCAGTCAGTTTTGATTTTTTTAAATATTATTTTAAACTTGGTTAGTTTATAAATAATATTATAATTGTTTTTTTTCGAAAAACTAATGCTACTAATATTTTATTGCAAAGACTTCTACACTAAAAAAAGGATGAAAAGCTATCGAGTTCAAGTCTAATTTGGCAAGTTTTTATTTAATTATGTTTATATGAGAACGCCCTACAAGCGCTATTTCATTCTTTATCGTTCAAATCCTATTAAGCTCCCCCTCAATTTACTTTAACCGCTTTATTGAACACTTAAAAATTTATTTCAAGGGCCAATGTAATTGAAAATCTGAGCGTTGTTTATGAAAATTAAAAGCTACTATATAATTGAGGTACAATATGCAAATAACGAAATAAAAGTTTGATAGTGTTTCACCGACTTGAAAAAGAAGGAGGTACAGTTTAGTTGAACGGTTTTAATTTTTTTTTGTATATTTGAAACGATATACTCGTATTTGTAATAACGAACCTGTTTTCCAGATTTTTTTTCATGAATAGCTTATACAATCAATCTAATCATTCATTTTATCTGCAATTAAATTTAATATTTAATATTAAGAAGATTCTGAAGTTCGTGTATTATTTTATTCAAAAATTAATGATTACCATTGTATTTAGATCAAGTATTAAGATTCTTTTGTAACTTAGAAATATCTGTATTCTATATAATATGATGTCCATACCAATTTCGGCAAGGGCGGCCAATCTCACTAAGGCTAATTATAGTGCAAAAGTGTACGCGTAGACACAACGTGCACTCTCTATTCCTTTTACTCGCAAAGTCCGATTGGACTATACTTCGACAAGACCACTGCGAGTTAAGGTGCAGGACTAACAGATTGCCGTAACCCATGGTTGGAACACCGCCAATTTAAATAAAACCCAATAATTATATCGAACCGATGACGATATATTATATTGTCGATCCAAGACTCGAATCTAGGACCTCCAGATCTGCGGCCATGTTATCTACTAGATTACTGCTCTCCATCCTCCTCCAACTCTTATCAGTTCTATAGTTACAGTAAGACGATTCGTTTTTGGTAAATAAATAATCACCAAAAATAAGCTACCATTTTCTCTGATTATTAAATTCGAAATCTGCTTTTAACTCTTCTACACTGTATTAAGTTTTTTTTCTTTTTACTAAGTTTTATGAGATTTTAGCAATTTTACTGTAATGGGTTTCAAAGAACACATTAAAATTATATGCAAAAATTTATTACTGATATTTGTTCGATTAAAATTGCACTGAATATGGAGATGGAAAATATCTTTTAGTGCCACCCTTTATGGCCGTCGTTAAACTGCCTCGTTTAGAGGTTTTACTTAGATATTTTTTACGCCTATATTATATAACACTCAGTGGACAAAAAGCTTTATGTTTCTACATTTGAAGAATTTTGTGGACTCTTATCGAATATTATGTATGCATTTTTAATGAATTTATCGTTTTGTTGACATTTTTACGAATAAAATATTTTGTTTTTAAATACTGACTTTCTGTAATCGAGGTAAATTGGTTAACATAGCGTCGTCTTATAGCTTATTTGTCCAAACGACCAATTTACTGAAAGAGTTTTTATTACAGAATTATTAACTTTTAATGTCAATTCTGTTGGTATTTAATGCAAATTTTACTTTTAAAAAGCCAAAGAATTGTCTTTTATCATAAATCAGACAAGTACTAGATACATAATCCCTATGCAAAAGTTCTCTTAAAACTGTTACCAATTGTGTTTATATACTAATTGAAATAAATATACAACAATATAAATTGAACCTTAAATGCAAACCTTCAAGTGGTTTTCACATAAAAAATCATTCGGTGAGGACATTTTTTGTCGCTAATTGTGATTCTAGCACTTTTTGATATATATATATATATATATATATATATATATATATATATATACATATATATATAAAAGATTGTTTTTAGAATAGAGGAAAAAAACTCTACTGTAAATTACAACAACTATTTGTGGTTTTAACAAATAAACACTAAGGTGACGATAAATTAAACTCATGAATGCTGTTGTTGTTTTCGTTTCATATCTTGTAGGTCTTTCAAAACTTAATTTTTTTAAGTTAATGAGAAAATTGAGTACAAGTTGATACAAAAAGCGTTGTGGAAAGATATAAGCTTTTCATGGCTTCAAGACATTCATTCTATACATACAATAAACTAGAACTAGTAACTGGGTCAAAGTAATTTATTCAATATTTTTAAAAAGGTTTGTTTCATGGATTTTTTCTGATAATATTATAAACTTTTGACTATTTCTGTCAGATTGTCTTTTTAAACGTGGTTATATCGAGATTGGCTGGATTATTAACATGTTTGTAATAATTTGAATTTTAATAAAGTTAAGGTCTAAATAGTAAAAGTGGTAGTTCAGTGGTAACGCGCTCGCTTGGGAAACTTAATGAAGCGGGTTCAAATCCCGGGTCTTGCACCTCCGATATTTTCATGTGTGAATCATTTTCAACATGATTACCACAAGTTTAACGGTGAAAGAAAACATCGTGAGGAAATTTGAATTTCTGAGAAAATCTAACACACTTGGTCTAAGTAACAAGTCTCATTTTAATTGCTACAATAATCTAAATTCATTATTATTTATTTCAAACAAATTAAATTTACTTTTCCATTTTGCCTGGTGCTTTTAAGTATCTGGATTTATCTTACTTAAATTTAACAAGATGTGTTATTTAAAATCTATACATGTAATAAAATTGTAACGGAGTCGAATCTGTACATTAAATATTTTTGGAAATCTAATCCCTTCCTGAAATAATCATTATTATCGATGCAGAAACTTAATCTATACTTTTGAGAATTTTTGTCTGTCTGTCTTGGAACGCATCATGAAAAAAAACTTTTTAACAAAAAAATAAAAACCGACTTCAAACAAAAGCACTAAAAAGTAAAAAATAACTGATTGGTAGTTTTCATTTACTATACATACCTAATCAAATATTTTCGAAGTCGGTGTGCTTTGCTTTGTATGGGCTGGCACCGATTTCGAAAATATTTGATTAGGTATGTATTTAATAGGTAGACTTTAATTACTTAGCCAAAGCACACCGACTTCGAAAATATTTGATTAGGTATGTATAGTAAATGAAAACTACCAATCAGTTATTTTTTACTTTTTAGTGCTTTTGTTTGAAGTCGGTTTTTATTTTTTTGTTAAAAAGTTTTTATTTTTCCCCTTTTTAGTGTAGACAGTAGTAGCAAAGTAAGGATTCTAACGTGTTAGGCTTGTCAAATCAAACAAAATAAGCCCAAACTCAAAGTATCTACTATTAGCCGTTGAAGAGTTCCACCTATCCACCTTCTGGCCTTGCCATCAGATCAGGTCAACAACACCGAACCACTGTACTATCAACGGAAATAGAAATACTTGCAAAGTTTCAAGTCAATATGACAATTAGAAGTAGGTTAAATTCATCATTAGTTGTTTTTCCACCCTTAGGGGTGGTATTTTTTTTTGAAATTTAAATGGGACCAATCTGGAAGTATACCCTTTCAAACAAAACCAAAATTGTCCAAATCGGTTAATAAATGACGGAGTTCTGAGGTAACAAACATAAAAAAAAAAAAAAAAAAACATACAGTCGAATTGAGAACCTCCTCCTTTTTGAAGTCGGTTGAAAAACACTGGACAGATTTGATGAAATTTGGTATGATGATAGCTGGTTATCCGGATCAACGTATAGGATACTTTTTACTGCGGGAAAATTCTTATCTCTGAGAAATCTATACTAAACCTTAAAACGTAAGTAGGGACAAACCCGAGCGGAGCGAGGGTGAGTCGCTAGTCATTTATTTAACTATTACGATAAATTGTGTATAGTGACAAACTAAATTCCACGAAAAAAGTATTATATGTTGAGATCCGACCTCGCTTTGTTTCTTCCGTCTTCCGTCGCCATAATACCTACTCCTTATCAGATAAATCGTAAAATTTTTATTTCTCGGGAACACTTTAATTTTCTCATATAAGAGTTTCAGTCAGTCAAAAGATAAGCGGGAAGAAACTGACATACAAAATATTTTTAGCTGTTGTTTGGGCTTAATACTAAATATATGTAACTAACTTTATTAGCGTTTGATGAGAATAAAATGGCTTGATTGTCTCATTAGTGTATTGGCTAGCATACGACTGCAAACCGTAAGGTCCTGGGTTCAAGTACCGCGACAGGCCGTATTTACTGGATTTTTTGTTACTGAAATATTCAGCCTCGAATTGGGGATGTTGGCAATGTACACTGTTGTAGTTCAAGCATGATAAGCTGTCGGTATTGCGTAATATCACTCACTGTTTGACGTTCGTGTCGAGTTGTCATCCCACCGGAATATGTGAATAAAAGGAATAGAGAGTGCACGTTGTGTTAATGGATTCTTGTACACTATATGAATTGAACCACTCAATAGT